TTTTTGAAAAATTTATACAAGCAAATTGTTTTTTATTTTACATTTTACGTATGTGTTTGAAATTTCAGCAAGATCGGATGATAAATGTAGAAGTTTTTTTGGAGGGTAGCCGGTCCCCTTAAAATGATTGCAATTAATTACCTTATCTATGATAAGGATTGAGCGAGAAACCCCAGTACAACCTAGTCTTTCTCAGCTAAACTTCATTCAATGGTATTGCCTACCTATATATTACCCATCAATCATACACAGCATTTAATTAATGGGAATACTGTACTGCCAAAAAATGTAACATCACATAACACAGTAGGCAAATAAATGCACTATTGACATTTATCCACAATTAATTATGAGGGAATAACAAGGAGGCAGGAAAGTTGCTCTGTAACCCCTCAATATGAACATGAAAGAAAAAGTTAGTGGGACAATCCTTGGTTAGTAAGGGATTAAATGAACATAACCCAAAAAACTGCATTTGCTGTCTACGCAGAACAAGATAATCTAGAATAAATGATAATGCAAATAAGAGAGGCCTTCATAAGAATAGAAATACACAACTTGAAAAAAATAATAAAAAAATAACTGAAATGTTTCAATACAGATTTGCCCTGACCCAGACACAAATTGGCTCAAACTCTGACTCAGATTATACTAAAATCAATCAAAACTTGGCCTTCAACTTCCATTGATTTACATAAAACTGGCCCAAACCAGCCAGAACTGGCCTGTAATTTGCCTGGAATGGGCCCAAAGTTTGTAAGACAATTTTTCAGTAACATTATGCTGATCAAATAATCCTATACTCAGAGCTGGGCAGCGCTACTTGGAAATGTAGCGGCGCTACCGCTACATGCTCTAAATGTAGCGGCCGCTACCGCTACCGCTACACCCACTAGATTGTAACGGGCGCTACCGCTACAGTAAAATGTAGCGTGCTACAATGGCCAAAAGCGTGCTACAAAGGCCGTGTAGCGCTACAATGGCCAAAATTATTGGAAATCTCTAAATATTTATTGTTCTGCTATTGGGATTTACTCATTAACATTTATTGATAATAAAACATTTTTAAAACATATCAATGCAACTTTATTGCAATTAATCTAACCGAACTAGTATGGGTTACCCCAGGGTTAGATACATTAAATAGAAGTTGCAGTTATTTTTATGTTTTACCTTCCCTACATGGATGTGAACTTTAATCTACCAATCTAAGAAATTATCCATATATACATATAAAAATCAGTCTTTTTTGTATATATATGTGGATTATTTTTGAGATTGGTAGATTAAAGTAGACCTCCATGTAGGGAAGGTGAAACATAAAAATAACTGTGTAAAAATAACTGTAAGCAAGCTGAAAGATGAAAAAACCTGTAAGTGGTAACTGGTAACAACTTAACAACTAACATGTTGACACTAGTAACAGGCTGAGGTTGACAACATTACACCGAAATCTTTCGTACAGTTTTATTCTGTAATTTATATTATGTATGTATCATGCTGGTTTTTAAATAATATTTAATACTATTAAGGGAACCGGCTACCCTAAAAATTGGAAATTTTGGCTTTACTGTTTTCTTGACTCATTTTGTAGCTGCTGAAAAGGCGCGTCTAACGCAGTTTACCGCATGTCTGTGCGCGCTATAATTTTTGCGTGAGACAATTTTAAAAATATATATATGAACATTTTTAACAATATGTACATAGATTTATTTTAATTAAATCTGTATATGTAGATCATTACTCTTGTTAATTACAAAGTGTTTGCACTCGTTTGAAAGCTACAAACGAGACGCATTCAACAAAGCTACTACCATAGATGTACATGCAATACTTTTTTGTGCAATGCAGTCTTGAACTTTTTATTATCATTTTATATCATTATTTACCAATAAATTGTATTTATATGTCATTATTTAGGTTAACTGCAAAGTGTTTGCACTCGTTTGAAAGCTACAAACAAGACGCGTTTAACAAAGCTACTACCATGGATGTTTATGCAATAGTTTTTGCGTAATGCAGTTGTAAAGTTATGTAAAATGAATATTTATATATATATTTATATATAAAAAGTCCCATTATTTAGCCTATTATTCACATTAAATTGAACAAAAATAGGTCTAAAGACGCGTGCTGGTACCTTGAATGCAAATAATTGGCAATGGGAAAGCTTGGGCTACAATATCAAGACTTTTTGGGCATATTCTTCTGTTTTCAATGAATTTTACTTTATTTGGCTCCCCTGAACAATTTAAAAATCCAAAAAAACGCCATCATAAAAAAAATTATAACTCCTACAGTTTTCAAGCTACGGCAATGAGAGACATACCATTTGATTTGTAAAAACAATACCTAGCGACTCTAGAAGCCTTTTTTAAATATGTGCATGGTTTGACTTATATATGGGAGGGGGAGGAAGGTGGGGGGGGGGTAAAAATGTGAAAAAATGGGAAAAACGCGAAAAAAGCGATGAGGAAAATAAAAAAATCAGGGCTCAACAGTCGCTAGATATTGTTGTTACAAATCGAATGATATGTGTCTCGACATTGTAGCATGTGATTTGCCAAAGTTATAAACTTTTTTAGAGTACCCCTTATTTGCTGTTTTCTATTAATTCCATGTTTTCTTTCATTTTTTTAAATTTACATGAACAAAAAGGTCTTAGATTTCTGTTTTACATATGTGTACCAAGTTTCAAAATGATCCATCTGTAAACAAAAAGTTTTGTCAGAGGGTAGCCGGTCCCATTAAGTAAAATCTGAAGGCTTTATCTATAAATGTAGCGGGAGCGCTGTAGCGGCAAAACCTCGTATTGCTACTTAAATATGTAGCGGGTGCTACCGCTACCGCTACATTGCCTTAAATGTAGAGCCGCTACCGCTACTGAAAATGTAGCGGCCGCTACATGTAGCGCGCTACTGCCCACCTCTGCCTATACTCAATATATAGTAACTATACATCAACTTATATGATACTCAGCAGTAATCTCCGCAACATGATGATATTCAAACTACTTTATTGAATAAAACAGATACATGGCAAGACTGTTCCTCCTGTGACTTGCCTATGAAAAGAAGCTATGTCAATTGTTTTAAGAAGAAGATCAGCAAGATTGATGAAACACTTGGCAAGATTAATAAAATCATCATGGGCAAGTAGCCAGACAAAATGTTGTAATAGTGTTGTAGTAGGAAGGTGTAAACACCAGAATTAAGTGCTTTTCACGAAACAAGAGTTCTTAAAGGTAACTTGGCACAAATGTGATGCTAGTTATAACTGGCTAGCACCTGCTTCAGTATACAGGAAGCCATGGATGATAATAGCAAGGAATTAATGCCTAAAATTTAAACAAGATGGTAAGTAATTTTTAAGCCTAAAAGTGGCCTCTAACAACCCTCCTCACCAACTTTCTGCCACATACTGAAAGCCTTCTAAATTAGCACATAACCCTGCCATGCATCCTGCAAGCCTTTGCAGATACTAAACTGTAAATGGTCAAGTTTTATATAGTTATCCCACCAAATGTTGAGATGGTTGACATTCATGCTCTTTGTTTCACAGTATTTCACTTGGTTCTTTATTTAATTGATGAATGATGCTGTTGAATTAAAAATGATTGATTTGTCTTATTGGTTTAGTGTTTGATGTACAACTAGTTTCAGCAAATTTAGATCTCCTTGATTCTATTTACCATATGGTTTTTGATTAGTCTGTCTCCATTTTCTCCTTTATTCAAACCTCATTTGAAGTTCCATCCCAAAAAGTGTTTAAAATTTCAAAGTTAAGTCACAGCATGGACAAACGCTGCTACTAGTTGAAGGGTTTGTTATTTCAGATTGGTGAGAGAGATTTTAAATCCCATCCCCTAATGGGGATTATTATACGTCTTTAATTTAGTTCTTTCTGTAGCAGCTCTTATTCCCAGCTTTAACTGTATGCTCCTTTTATGCAACTAGCTAACTTATCCTTTACATTTATGATCTCCATGTTCATCCACTTAACAACATTATTACAATATACCCTTGCAATTTACTGTGCCGTACTTTTATTCAATAGTCACCCTTCAACACAATTCGTATTGACCATCATGCATAGTAGGCTTGGTGCCATCTAGTTGACCAGGTAGATAAAATGGTAATTTCACCATCAGCTGGTGACTATACCCAGCAAGAGTGTGGTTATTCTTCCATTTCTCTTGTGTTTTAAAATCTCATCCAAATGCTGATATTATTTAGAAAAAAACATAGGTAATACATGCAAAACTTTGTGCCACTTCCCTAATCCTGCAGGTCTAGCAGCAAGAATCAACAAAAGCTTTCCTTTATTATGAGTTCAGACGGAAGGCAAAATATTCAAGGCATAGAATACATGATAATTCATGGCAGTGTAAGGTACATTCCCATGGTGCTTGCTTAAAGGTAGTCCAAGTGATGGGTAGAGCTAATAAAAGCTAGTATAGTGCAAGCCTCAAATTAAAACTAATTGTCAGTATTCCCTACATAAATTTTGAATTATTTGACTTGTTAATTTGTACCAAACCCTGCGGCTTCTACCACTATGTACATACATGCAGGAAGCTTGCACTATCATAAACCAGTAGCAACCAAAGTCCCATGGAACAATTATTAGTTCTAAGGATCTTTAGTCTCAATATTTCAGGACCATTTGATATGCTTCACAGGGCTAAAATGAAACTAATAAGCACTAGAATGATAGTGAACATGAATATAAAGTAGTTAATTACATTTTAAATACAGGCACAACAACAGGCAGCTGAATATTTCCTGTGATTCTCAAATATTCATGGCAAGCTATGGCATGCCATCAACATATATTGCCATAGCCCATAAGTATTTGCTGTTGCTCACTGTGGTAGGGTTTCTTTTAGACTTTAGCTCTTGAAAATTTTTTCTGATTATAACTATATTATTATGCATCCATATTCATATTGATGATAAGAATATCATATTGATGATAGAAGTACCTACTTTTTAATTAACCATGAATTATCCAGGCCATTTATATTTTTCTTCTTTTTCTCAAGAGTGGATTCTGAGCCCTGCATTTCAGTCCAGAGTGCTGGATGGCAATGAGTGCACTAATAGTGGCTTTTTAAGGTATGTGGTGCAGTATTGGACAAGCCAACTTTACTGAAGTGTTGCATGCTACCTTGGCTACTTTGCAGAGGTAGTGTTTGCTACTTGAACTAATTTTTTTAAGTTGTGTCGCTTAATATTAGCAGCTACACTATCTAACAAATTAAGGCCTGTTACCTATGCTAATAATATTCATTAAATTTAATTAGAATTTTCAGTATTTTTAAAAATCTAAAAAATTATTTTGTTGTAGAAATTCAAACTTTGCAAAAATCTTTTCAAGCATGCTATTTAAATTTTAGTTTTTTTTTTCTTCTATTATAATTTTTTTATGTATACAAAATTTGTCACTATCAAATTTATTTGTGTAGGTGAAACTTATAGCAGAAATGGCAGCTTGCTCACAGAACATCACACTTGTGCCTGGGATTGAGCTTTCTCCTCAGGAAGCCAACAGATACAAGAACATTTTTGCCGTCCAAGTTCCCATGTGTGAAGTTTTTCGAGCCGTTCTAAAGTGGGAATGCAGCGACAAGCAACTTGGTCAAACTTGTGCAGATTATTTTGGTCAAAAGAAGCAGCAATATGAAGACCGCCATGCTGCCCTGGTGGCAGAGAAGAACAATAAATTTAAATTACCAAAAATTGGACTACCTACACGTACAATTGAAATGCTACAGGAAGAACCATCAAAGTATGACGTTACTCTTATGTTTTCTTTTTTGTGTGAGATATTCAAATCAAAAGTATCATACACACACATTGGTCATGTGAGAAGTCTCAGTCAACTAGAGTGCCTCTTGAAGGAGGCCAAAAACATAAGAAATGCTGTTATGCATGAAGTCGCTGACGGTGCTGTCAACCCCATGAAGTTTGATGAAATTGTCAAAGCCATGCATGATGTGATAGATGAAGCTAGCAACGTGTACAGCATCCCTGCTGATGAAGTAACGAGTTTCAAAAGCCAGATAGATGGGATGTGGGATGAAGTGCGCACAGATAGTGAAAAAGCTAAGGCTTATTGTCGCTTCTTCCTGCAAACTTATGGAAACAAAGAAGCCAAAGTCATGTGGGAAGCAATGTTGTCTGAAGAAACTCTGCTCTTTGGCGATGACAATGTTGAATGCTCAAAAGTTTTCCATTCCCTGGAATTGACACTACAGAAACCTAAAGATCAACTCGAGTGCAAGATCTCCTACACTGAACTGCTAACTGGCAACGATAAGTTCATTGTAGTCATTGGCGACTCCGGGTCTGGAAAATCCACTTTGGCCAAGAACTTGGTGATACAGCACCATATTGATGGCTATGATGAATGTCATAAAGACTCGTACAAGGTTGTGCAACAGATGGTGAACAAAATGAGGAACCATGAGTGTCGTGTGATCATCACCACCAGGCCAAGTGCTGCTGACAGGCTCAAGGACTTTCTGAAGCGAGAAGGTGTGAAGTTCCAAGAGTATGAGATAGCAGAAATTTGTGATTTAGATGACCAACTAATATTTCTGGAGAAGTATGAAAAACATGTCACTCCACATGCTGAGAAAGTTGTGAAGAGCTTCAGTTCTCTTGGACCGAACATTCAAGAACTTTTTGTTCGTCCCATTAATTTGGTTCTTTTTTGTCACCTGGTCTGGAACTTTCCTGAAAAGATAAATGAATGGAAATCTCCTGCTGATGTAGCTCAAGTCACATATGATTTATATAGGAAAATTATTAAGACAAAGCTGGCTTCCTGCGTTGTTGACATGGATGGCCTTATCGATTATTTCTTCCAAGACTTGGGCAATTTCTCCTTGAAGATGATTTGTAAAGGTCATTTGGTTTTCTCTGCAAAGCAAGTTGACGATTTGATACGCAGTATCAGATCAAAACTCAGAGAATATGGGGTGCTTGGAACACTAGACCCTCATGCTCTTCTGGGTGTTGTCTTGAAAATAAAACGTCCAATGAAAAGTTTTGAATCATGCACATATTTCTTCCATCACAAGAGCATACAAGAACTGTTTGCTTCCAAGCCTGTCTCAATGGAGCTCCGCATGAATAATGCCTTGCCGCCCATCTGGCCGTCACAAAAATGTGAAAATTTCGAGTGAGTTTTCTGTTGAGAAAGATTTAATTGAGTTTCTTAACACTGTCTCTGAGATAGAAACTTATGCCGTTGTCGTTGGATGATCCAATCAGATTTTTATTGGGCCTTTTTTCACCTACCTTTCACAGGTATAAATGTAAAATCATTTTATAGAGAGGTCTAGTTAATTTAAGTCTCACTAAATTAATTTGATCTAATTAATGAGTGTCTCACAGTACATATTATTTTCCTGTACTGTTCTTATCCAAATTATAAAGTATTGGTAGCTTTCCTCACTTCTAGAGATGCCCACCCCTTTCATTTCCTCAAATGCACCCAAATAAGGTGGGAAAATGACGAGAATTCATTCATTGTTAATACGCAGCTCTGCAGGCACACTTTAAAATGGAGAACGCAAATTATTTCTACTTTAGAAATAAGTATAGCAATTTTATCATAATGCTTAATTTTCATTCGGACTAATGTTTTTGCTCATAGATGAACAGAACAGGATGCAGATTATATTTATTCGTATGATTTACTTGTTAATTAGCCTCAACAATAAAATTTAACCAATAATTTAAACAGGCCGCTAGAAGTGCTCACGTATGTGTTCATGGAGCTGAGTGCTGCCGAGGAGTCCACTGTCTTCTGGAATAACTGGCCGCTCCTGCGAGATGCTGTTGGAGGCGTTGCCATGCATCGCTGGAAACAAATCTTGTTGAACTGTCGTGACTCGCAACATATTGCTGAAGCGATTGCCGGAGTCTACTTGGCTCACAGCAACAATTGGTGCACAGATAGAGGTAGGGGTAGGTAGTATTTGATAGGTATATGATAGAGGTAGTATTTTTATTTGGTGCCTTAATTGTTTGGGAGATTTTGCTTCTGGCATTGTACCGTCAAACCTTCATGGAACTTTGTGTGTCAATGAGATTCTTGATAGTTGTTTCTTGATGGTTGTTTACGAGCCTTATTGTCATTCAAGGGGGATATGAAAGTCTCATACACAATGAAATCTGATATATTGAAGAACTTTCACTTTCCCCCAATAGTATATGCTCCCTTTCATCTGAGTATCTGCCTTTCATGCTGAAATAACATACCTCCTAAAAAGTGTTTCATTAACTAAAATTTGTATTCTATATGTCCAAGATAAACAGGAAGGTGTAAACAGGAAGGAATGTTGTATAGCATTAATCAAACAGAAAATATTCATTATTAAAATAAAAAATATTCATTAATCAAACAGAAAATAAATTATATATCAGACAATAATTATTAGATAATCTAATGATATGATACTCATTTATATACCTACTTGAATGTAAATTCTTAGACCACAGCAGAGAGTGTGGGCATGACTCTGTTGGCTTATTATTTCTAAAGCGTTATGACTGTGAAATTTTTCTCTTCTGAACATTGCCTACACTCATAATGATGAATGTGTAGTTTCCAAGCATTTATTCTCTTTATTACTCACAGCTCGAAGAGAGAGCAGGCGTGGAACTGAAGAAAATTACAGTAAAGCTCTTTCTAATTATAGTGTGCTGTAGGATGTATGATTTGATCCAATACTTGTATGCCTTAACGTTCAGCATTTATTCTATAACTCTCATGCGGTCAAGTATAGAGACGTGAAGAAACTTGAATTTCCCAAATCAATAAATGAAATTATTTAATTATAAGATGTATTTACTCCTATGAATTTTCAAAAATAATTCATATTGAAGGAGTAAATGGCAGTTGAAGAGTCCTTAAGTGCAGACGCTACACTAAAAAATATAACTCAGTACTCACTGCAGTGAGTGACAGAGAGCGCATTTTCTTGTCGATGAAAACGTGAAGTCACGGACGGACAGACAGACAGACGGACGAACGTACATGACGAACACAATAGCGCCTTTTTTCCATAAATGAGAAAATGCGCTAACAAATGTATAATTTAATTTCAAGCATTTAAAAGTGAAAAGTAAATATTTTACCTAATTTTAATTAGATTTTGCAAAGATACTTTAATTCATAGAATAGATGTTGCTATTCCTTCTTTGAAATAAATATGTGAGGAGCATCAATTACACTGTGCAAGTCAACTTTAAATGCAGATTTTAATTCTTGGGCAAGGCAAGGGGTAATGCTTGTATAGAATGATTTTGTATGGAATGATGGTCAGATGATCAGTGAATGGCAGAGGCATGATAATGTTGCCTCTAACACAAACTGGAGGCTGGTGGGTCTTTTAGGGAGGCAATTTGATGTGATCATATGTGGTAACTTGCCTGATAAAGGGTTAACTGATACATTGTGCTCCTTTTGTTGTTAATTTTCAAACACATGGAAATTCTGCAAAGTTTGTAATCGCAATGTCTGAAGAAGAAATATACCATAATCTTCACACATAGATACACTTTATTGAAATTTGATGATGATGATTGGATTTTAAGGTAATAATCACCTATTGTTTTGAAGACTACATCATGAGGTGCTTTCATACACAGGCCTCAGTGTTGATGCCATTGCGCTGCTGCTGCCCCACCAGCAGCCCGCCGTGCTCTGCATCAGTCACCTAGATAACCCAGCGCCCGAGTCCTGGCGTCAGGTGGCTAGGACATTCAGAGGAACTCTTGAGCTGCAACTATTACCATACAATCTGTGTGACCGCATGCTTGAAGCCTTGAACTCCTCGAGGTGCGATGATCAGGGAGGATTATTTATTATATATATATATATTACTAACATGTTTGTACAATTAAAGCTCTGAACATGTAACCCACTTGAGCCTTGAGGTATCATTCTTAAATATTAGTATATTGTTGTGCAGCTGCTCGTTGTCATCGTTTGCTGGCTGTATCAAGGATACGAAGAGCATCCAATCCTTGGCCAAAGTCGCGACGCCCAACTCAGACTTCTTGATTGTCACGGAGCCGCACGTTGACTTGACGCCCCTGCAGCACAAGCACCAGAAGCTTCGTGAGTGTGAATAGAGCCATAGATCTCTGTGACTAGATATAAGCTACAGAATAATTAACATCTTACTTATGTAGAGTAAATATGCCTAGTTTTAAGAGCTGGTGGTGTGACAGAAATTACTTGGAAATTTTTTATTTTAAGGCAATTTTAGGTCCAATTACCTGAAGAGTCAGAGATTAAATCTGTTGTATCCAATCAGTTCTTCTCAAACTAAACTGGCCTTAATTCCCACCTGTTAATAATTTATCAGCTCACTGTGGGTACTGCAAGAGTGGAGAAAGTTGAATAATGAAAATCAAGATGTTAATACATCAAATGGTGCTTGGGTTAATCTTAACTCAGTCAAACAAGTTTAAAACAAGTTTATTGTAAAGTTATGAAGATAAATTAATGTAATTGCATCTCACTAATTATCGTGATAACTATTAAAAAGTATTAGAAGAGGCGATAAAGCATAAAAGCTGTAATAATGTAAATAGATATTATTAACAGTATAATTAACATCTTTTGTATGTAAGGTTAAAATATCTAGTTTTAAGAGCTGGTGAGATGACAGAATTTACTTTTTGTATTTGATATTTTGATTTGAGGTTTTTGATATAAATTTGATTTTTTATATAAATTTTTTGATTTGAGGCAATTTTAGGCCCAAATACATGGAAAGTCATAGATGAAATTTGTTGTATCGGTAGTTTCCAAACTAAACTGGCCTTAATTACAAACGTAATTATTAATTAAACTTAATTATTAATTAAACTGGCCTTAAATAAACTGTTAATAATTTATTGACTCACTGTGTGTACAGCAAGACTGAAGAAAATTAAGAGATGAAAATCAAGATGTCAATACATCAAATGGTGCTTGGGTTTATCTTAAGTCAGTCTGAGAAAGCAAGTGTGAAGTAAACTTAGGAAAATGAATTAATATGGTTGCATTTCACAAAATTATTATGAAAACTATTAACCAGTATTAGAAGAGTAGATAAAACACAAATCTGATAATTCCTCAACTAGACAATAGTAATAAATAACAATTACTTCGTTCAACCCGTTTGTGTATGTTTGTATTATTTGAAAAAATTATCATTGGAGATCCTCTCATTGGAATTGAATGTAAATAAAAATGTCATCCTCACCTTTCAATTTCTCTGTACATGTCCTTGATATTTAAGGTTTAAAGAGATATTGGACTAATCGTGCTATGTTGAGTGAATTGTTGAAGATGTTAGGCCAGCTCTGCTGTAATTCTCCTCATCTATGAAGTCAATATTTCTACAAACACCCATTTCAAAATAATAAAAAATATCACAATTACCATATCCTCAAATATTCATTTCAAAATAGTCTTTCCATGAACACCTCTTTCACAAGCAGCCCTGTCACAATCACCTCTTTTCCACATAACCCCAGTTCACAATAAACCATTTCGGAAGCAACTATTCCTCCAAAACATGTTTGTAATATTTTGAAAAATTTTTGATCCTCTTATTCAAATTGAATGTAAATAGAAACATTGTCCTAGCCTTTCAATTTCTCTGTACGGGTCATTGATATTAAGAGTTTTTAACTATACATTGGACTAATTGTGCCAGTTTTAGTTGAGTTAATAGTTGAAAATGTTAGGCAAGCTCTACTGTTATTCTTCTCAGCTAGAAAGTCAATATTTCTACCAACAACCATTTAAAATAAAAACAAATATTTCACAATAACCATTTCCCTGGACTTTCATTTAAAAATACACTTTCCTTGACACCTGTTTCCTCGTTTCACAATCACCCCTTTCAAAATCAATCATTCCACATAACCCAGTTCACAATCAATAACTTCGGAAACAACTATTCCTCAAACACATATTTCCTAAACGTTATTTAATTTCTTCCCTCGCAGGGGTGCTTGTTGAACCAGCATCTGAGGGCGACATCGCTGCCCTGCCCGCGTCTCCCCACATCTTCCTTCTGGTGACGTCGGTTGCCAAAAATCAGCAAGAGAGTTTGACTCGCACCTTACTTGGCATGGCTCCTGCTGACAACAGGTGGTGGTTCCTACCTTGCATCATGATGATCAGTAATGTCTCATTTGTGGTTCTGAGGGTCCGAAGAAATCATTAAGAAAGGTGTTATCAAACCTGATCTAATGCAATGATCGGCTCATGTCAGGTTGCGGAGGCTGGAGCTCTGTGACTGCGCGTTGACTGAAGCGCAGCTGCAGGAGACGCTGGTGAAGCTGCAGCGCGCGGGCCTCAGGACGCTCTTCACGGACCAGCAAATCCACGCGAGACCCAGCCGAGTGCTGACTATACGGTAAATGAACGAATTTCTTTACATTACATAACGCCGAAATTATTTTGCTGGGCTATATAATGATTATTTTACTTCAAAATCTGTTATCCGAGGAAGAATTGATGGCTGGAGCAGTTGCAAATAGAAGAATGAAGCCATTGTGCTTCTTCACTTATATCCCGCCTTTTTAATTTTGCTCAAATAGCGTCCGCAACTGACGGAGGTGCGTGTGAGCCAACCAATGAGAACGCTGCAATGAAAAGCCACTTGGTCATTACTGATGTTCTGAGTGGTCCAAGCAGGAGCCTGTGGTTCATACCAACTGACCTGCTTATGAAAATTTCAATAACTAGGGAACACAGTCTGAATAAATCGATGCAGCCAAATAATAATAATAATAATAAGCCGATACAGAGGGCAGATTTTAGTTTCTCGACAAACAACCTGGGAAGATTTTACAGTCACCTCTGAAATTAGTTATTTGAAATGATGCACGTAGCTCCACGGACTTGAGGTGATTAGGTTCAATTTAGGAGTAATTCTCACTGGCTTTAGTGTTGAGGTAAAAATAG